TAATAACATGGTTATCGTAGATTAGCTGGGATTTATTCGTGTTTAGGGGGAATAAATTTCCGTTATAACGGAAACGTGGGCACAGTTATCTAACCTTATAGAAAATACACAGACTAACTAACTAACTAACTAACTGATTGACTAACATAAACAACTGAAAATTGAAAAAAAATAGCTTGCACCGTTAGCTCCGGTAAGGGAAAGCATGAGGGAAAGCGGCTGACCGGAAGTCACACACAAAAAAAGGGAAGTTGATCACTATTTACTTCCGTGTTTGAAAATTAGGTGGATATGTCTATAAAATCAATTTAGATCAGACAAGTTAATATAACTCATTGCAATTGTTGCACATAACTTGAAAATATACCAATAGTTGATCAAACTCCAAATGACTGAGTCATTATGGCAGCAATTCAATTTTGAGTTCATGTTAGTTTATCACTTGAGTAACTAAAACTTTCTATGTCATATGAGTTCTGTTAGCTCAATTCTTTTATTAAGATGTGCTGTTAGGTTTTACAGTGCTGGATGTTCACCAGTGTTGGGGGGAGGAGTCTGCGCCTGCGGAAATCCACCACCAGCTCTTTGGTTTTCACCATGTTGATCTGAAGATGGTTCCTCAGGCACCAGTCCACAAAGTCCTGGTTCAGTTCTCTGTACTCCCTGTCATCCCCATCTGTGATGAGGTGAGTCATCAGAGAACTTCTGCAGATGACAGGTGGGGGTGTCGTATGAAAAGTCTGCAGTGTAGAGGGTGAAGAGGAACGGTGCCAGCACTGTCCCCTGCGTGGCCCCCGTACTGCAGACAGCCAAGTCCGATACACAATCCTGGGTCCTGACATACTGCGGCCGGTCTGTGAGGTAGTCCAGGATCCAGGATGTGAGGTGATTAGCCACCCCTATGTCTTCCAATTTGTCCCTCAGAAGCGCAGGCTGTATGGTGTTCAAAGCGCTGGAGAAGTCAAAGAACATGATTCTGACAGAGCTTCCGGGCTTCTCCAGGTGGGAAAGAGCTCTACACAGGAGGAAGATGATGGCGTCGTCCACCCCAATGCCAGGCTGGTAGGCAAACTGCAGCGTGTCCATTGAAAGGCCTACTGCGGGGTGGAGACGAGACAGCACCAACCACTCCAAAGTCTTCATGAGGTGCGATGTTAATGCCACCGGTCTGAAGCTGCTGAAGTCCTTGGGGTGCGGAGTCTTGGGCACAGGTAGGATGTCTTCCACAGCTGTGGTACTCTCCCCAGCTTCAGGCTCAGGTTGAAAATGGTTTCAATTATCCCGCACAGTTGGTCTGCGCAGGACTTCAGGAGCCTGGAGCTGATGCTGTGTGGACCCACAGCCTTCCTCGTCTTTATCCTCCTCAGCTGATATCATAGTATCATGATATTTTTGTGTTGCGATATTGTATTGTCACAAAGTGCCAATTTTTGATTTTTTAAAATTATATAAATGATTAAAATAACAAATACAGATTAAACTAAATAAAACTAAAATAATCAGTTGCTTTATCAGTCCACTGGATACATTTTGCTGCAAAAGAATGACTGAAGTGAGATGAACAGACTGAAAACTTTATCTTAGTAGATAGTTCAAATGTTAACAAAGTTTTCCTTTGGGGACATAATTTGCTGTAATAATAAATTGCAATATATCGTGAAGTTACATGTGTAACCCTGGTTCTCTGAGTGAAGAAGCTTCCCCTCCACCCAGAGATATATTGTATTTATCTCTACTGGAGACCTGAACCCTTGGGTCAGGTGACGTGGATCATTTCTTTAAGACAATCCACCTGTGGATGTGGCTGACAGCCTATATAAATCCCTGACAACCATGCCCCCAGTGATCTAGATCTGATGGAACAAATCCCAGAGTGGCCTTGAGGTGGAGGGGAAGCCTCTTCACTCTGAGAAGCAGGGTTACACATGTAACCTCACGTTCTCCATTGTTCTAGGCTTCCTGCTGCCACAAGCCCTGGTGCCAGACATTACCTAGGCTACACGGCCCCGCAAAAGGAGGTGGAGAGACCACTCCGTCAAGCCACCCAGATTGGCCCGACAAAGAGACAAAATGTCACTAGCATTGGGCTAAGCCAAGCCCCCACTCCCTGAACGCTGTGCCTACAGCCACATTGAGCTGGTAGAATCTCGCAAACATGATGGGGCAGACCAGGTAGCTGCTGCGCAAATCTCACTAAGAGAAGCACCGCGCCACAATGCCCAAGAAGTAACCATGCCCCGGGTCGAATGTGCCCGCACCCCAGACGGGAAGGGCACCCCTGCCCCAACATATGCCTGCTGGATAGTTCCCACAATCCAGTGTGAAAGATGAGCCTTGGACAGCGGCTGACCCCGGAGGTCCGGCCTTAAACAGACGAACAGCTGATCTGTCTGCCTATAGCACCATGTCCGTTGTAAATACAACCTGAGTGCCCTGACTGGGCACACAAGCGACAAGCCTACGATCTCCCTCTTCCGTTGATTCGGTGAAGAGAGACCATACCACCATGTCGTGGCCCGGCTGAGAAGGAGACAGAGCCTTAGGAAGGAAAGCAGGGTTTAGGACCACCCCTGCCCCCTCCGGCAAGAACCTGCACTGATGCTCATGCACAGAGAGAGCATGGAGCTCCCCCACCCTCTTGGCTGTTGCCAGCGCCAATAAAAGAGCAAACTTAAAGGACAACCATTTCAGGTCCACTGAATCCAAAAGCTCAAATGGAGGTAGCCCAAGAGCCCTAAGGACCAGCTCCAAATCCCAGGGTGGGAGGGACGGTCTGGAATGCAGGCCATCATACCTCCTAGCACCCTTAAGGAACTGGGAAACCAGCTTGTCTGCCTCTCCAGGTAACTGGTAGCTTCCCATCCGAGCAGCCTTAATCGCCGCAACAGTACCCCTGAGAGTCGAAGGCGACTTCCCAGCATCCAAAAGCCCCTGCAGGATTGTTGGGGCTGAGCAAGTCAGTGCATCTACATGGCGCCCCCATCACCAGGCTGCAACGGCCCTCCACCTGTACGTGTAGAGCGTTCTCATTAATGGTGCATGAGCCTCCTGCAGTGTACACACCACTGAAGGAGATATCCCCAGAGCTAATAAGTCAGACCCCTCAGGGGCCACGCCCACAACCTGAGCCCTTGGGGAAAGGGATGAATCAGAGTCCCCCGAGCCTGGGACAGCAGGTCCTGACGTACTGGGATCTCTCACGGAATCCTGTCCAGCAACGGCGGGATGTCCGAGAACCAGGTCATGTGCGGCCAATATGGGGACACCAGAATCAGCCTCATCCCTTCCATCCGTATCCTTCGCAGAAGGGATGGAAGAAGGACAAATGGAGGAAAGACTACAGCAGGACGCTCGGCCATGGGTGAGCCAGAGCGTCCATTCCGAGGGGAGGATGTCTCTCCCTAGGGATAGGAAGAGGGTGCAGTGGGTTGTTTCCCATGATGCGAACAGGTTGACCTTTGCACGTCTGTAGCAGAGCCAAATCTCCCTCACCACCTGAGGGTGTAGTCTCCACCCCCCTAAATCTGGACCTCCTCTGGACAGCAGATCTGCAGCACGGTTGTCCACATAGACATAGACCACTCTCAGGGACAGAACCCTGGGGTGTGCCCAAAGCCACAGACGGTGCGCCAGCTTGCAAAGGCGAGAAGAAATCAACCTGCCTGTTGATATAAGCTGCTGCTGTCACACTATCCATCTTCGCCAGCACATGCTGAGCCTGAAGATAGGGCAGAAAATGACGCAGGGCGAGATGGACGGCCAGCGATTCCAACATGTTGATGTTGTAAGTGATCTGGGAACCACTCCAGCAACCGCAGACCCCACTCTCCCTGACTACTGCACCCCAGCCTGTCAGTGACGCACCCATCGTCACTGACTGACGATGTGTCACTTGACCTAGCACACTGCCCTTGGCAAGATTCCTGCCAAGCCCACCAACGGAGGGCTGCCCTCAACTGCCTGGTTACAAGTACCGTGGTGTCAAGGCGACTCCTGGGTCCCAAACCCAGACTTAAGATGCATCTCTGCACTGGCTGCATGTGTAGGAGAGCCAAAGGGACTGCCTGGACTGAAGATGCCATCAGGCCCAGAAGGCAGAGACACTGTCTCCATGTGACCCTGGCCCCCAGCCTGAATGGAGAGAGACCGGACCTGAGAGATGCCTCTCCTCTGCCAGAGAGAGTAGACCAGCCTGGCAATCTATAACTAGGCCTCAACCCTCTTACCCCCAGACTGACCAGACTACCTGGGCTTGGCCTTGGGGGTCAGTGCATCAGAAACCTCCTTAGCACAACGGCGGGCCTCCTGTGCTTGTTGCACAAGAGTAGTGGCATGTGGTGGCCACATCAACGGTCCACCACCAGTGTTAGTATTTCTTTTGTTCACACTTTTTACACACACCCACATACATCTAAAAATAATAACACTACACATAGTCTTTTGCTTTCATATTGCACTTTATTCCATTTACACTTGTTATTTTGGGTGCACACAATTAACATTCTGTTTATGGTCCTTTATGTTGAAAGAATACTTGTTACTCGCCTTTTCTTTGTTTATGCTCCTGAGCTCCTTCTGACAAAGGACCTGCAGCCTGTCAGAGAAGGCCTTAAAAGGACAGTCCAAGGGAAGTGGGAGAGGCCAGTCAAAGATGGAAGAAGGGGGACTGACTTAGCCAGTCAGTTTTACTTTCCTTTAATTGGACTTATTAATTTGCTTACAGTTGATTATTTTCTTCGTATATAGTTTCTTTTGATAGTTTATATTTAGTCAGCTTAAACGTGTTAGATGTTTTATGTTAACTGTTAGTCAGGTATCCCCTTTGTGTCGCTGTTGGACTAGTCCATATTGTATGTACTGTGTGTCTCATTGTCTATGTGACCGGGGCATATAACCCCAGAGTACAAGAGGTTGACAACGCCACTCTGGGAATTTCACCCAGAGATTGATTAAGTCAATCACAAGTTCTTTGAGAAGAAAAGGAGCAGAGACGTGAGTTTCTAGTTTCAAAATAGCACTTTTATTTAAATCCACCAGTATTTAACTTATTGGGGAAAGAAGCTGAAAATAGAGGCTGTAAGTAAAAAAATATGGTTCTTAATTACAAAATAGACTCTAAAATACACTCTAAAATGTTAATATTTCTAGGCTGAGCTCATTACCAGTACAGGGGGAAGGGTGCCAGGATAACCCACAGGAGGATGGGAGTGAAGGGGGGGGAGGAAACCACCACCACGAGCATGAAGGGAGTTTAAACATGCACTGCAAGACAAAAAGGCACACGGGTTAATACATACAGCAAACACATGCAATAGAGAATGTCCCACTCTTCATGCAGAGGGACACACGCACACACACGTTAAGGCCACAGCAGATAAAAGAAAAAAACCCTGGATAGCCGAAAAGCTCCACCCAGTGACCAACCACCTACAGGCATATAACAACCCAACCATCTTGTGACTGGCAGAAAAGAAACCCAGCAATATCACAAGTCTCAGGTTATACAGGCTACACACCCACGTCAATTTATAAAATAAAGGTGTACAGAACAGAGTAAAATGGCTCCCTCACGTTACAGGCCTTCACATAATCCATATACACATACAATGCAACAGGGTAGAGCCAACTGAGTCTGCCTTAAGACAGAAAATTGTCCAAATCAACTATCACAAATGAATAGAAGCAAAAAAGAAAAAAAAAACAAAAAAGGGTATGGAAACTAAATTAACTACAGGACAAAAACAGCAGTGGCAACAGAGCTCCGCCTAATAGGACAAAACAAACAATATTAACACATAGGTCTTCACTTGAATAAGAAAACACTATAGGCAGTTGAACAATGGTTACCTTTGCTCAAGTACAATGGAACTAGTGCATATAGGACACCAACATCATACTCCTTGCTCCTACGACAGACTGACATTACCCAAAGTATGACATTAGGTAAAAAGTATGACATGTACAGGACTCATGTATGAAACTACAGTTGTAAATAGTAGCATACCTTGGGCAACAGGTTACAGTGACCAAACAATTGCCCCACATGTGATCCAGCACACACACGCAGCACTCATGTGGTGTCGTGGGATGGGGGTGAGTCCTACTGCAAACAACGCCTGTGAAGATGCCAGAGAGAAACTTAACATGCACACAGGTAACAGCTAGAAAGGAGGCAGATAAGATGCATACCTTGTTGTGACATGATCTCTCTCAAACATGGAGACAGGACAGATGAGGAAAGCCTGTGGCCGGCTGCACACAGCTACTTTTAATGGGCAGTTAGACCAGGGAGTAATCAAGTCTCACCTGGTCCCAATAGGGTAATCAGAGGGGTGTGGCAGAACACAAGAGGGAGGGAGAGAGTGTGAGCGAAAGAAGTCTCCCTCACTACATCTAGAAGGTCAATGTTGGTTATGTTGTCTTAAGTTCTTAGTTTCCTTATTGCTTAGTTGACCTCATTTGTTTTTTGGGCCCTACTTTTGTTAGTTCTTTGTTAGATTTCTTTATTTTTGTATGTCGGAAAATGTATGTTGTATGTATTGTTGGATGTCGTATGCTGTAAAGCCCTGTGAGACAAATTGTGATTTGTGATATTGGGATTTATAAATGAAGCTGATTGATTGATTGGTTGATAATTTGTTCTCAATTTCTGCATTTTCATTAAAATATTTTTTGCAACTTCACACCTCTGTCCTGAACCTTTTCTGCTTGGTTCCTAACATGGCACCAGGCCCAAACATGGCCGTTGGTGCGACCGGCAGCTTCAGGAGGGCCCCTTTGTCCTCTGACTGCAGCTTTGATCTGGACAAATACAGCTGGTGCCTAGTAACCCAGAGTGACAACATGCCATTCCCGGCAGTCAGTGTTTGCTCTTTCATTAGTGATGACAACATAGATGAAACAAGCTGTATCTCTGAAATAAGATGGACATCAGCCCCAGTGCTCAGCTGACGTATCAACTTCCTCTGGTACAGTGCTAAGATGGACCCGGTATTCGCCAGTTGAGTCTGAACCTGTGCAGTTTGTCCAGTGAAGCATCCAGCATTTCGCAGTCCCCTGATGGAGTAGCTGGCCCTAGCACAGAGCTGGCCTGAAATAAGAGGGCAGACACTGACTGGTCTAGCTGAGGCAAAGAACCACAGCCCACCTTCTCCTTATCCTGCATGGCAGACATCCATCTGGTGGTAGCAGTAAAGGAGAGTTTAGCCGTGGGATTCTCAAACGCCTTGTGCATCAGGTCTTTCACATCTGGGAGGAGAGGGACTGCAAAAGGCACCTCTGGATCAGGGAGATCATCATCATTGAAGCGTGAGGGGGGAGGAGCTTGACCTAACACTGGTCCGAGCCCAGTGCCTGAGAAGCCCTCTCAATCAAGCTTCTGAATTGCTGGCACTTACTCTCTTTGGCCTCACTCTCCTCCATCATCCCCTCAGCATCTGCATCATCTGACAGCCCTAACACATCACCTTCCTCCTCCATATCCTTCTGGTCATCAGCTTCAAGACTTCCGATTCTGATTCTGTCCCCAGGCAAAAAGGACCTAGAAGGGGACTCAGGGCGGGAAACAACAAAGGAGCTGCCTCCGAAATCCCCCCTCCTGGGGCGCTTAGACTGCTGGGGCACTGCGGATGGTGTAGCTTCTCCTCGCCCCCACCTACACTTCACCCTAAACACACAAAGTCAAGCCTCTAAGGACCATAATGGCAAAATAGAACAATTCATACAGAAGGATGGATTGTCAACTGTTGCAGCAGCATGTTCCTCCCTCTAGCCTCAGTGGGCAACTGAACTCCACACATCACACAAAAATGGTCTATTGATGCCATATCTCCCAAGTCTCCCGATAGTCCCACCCTTGCGAGATCACCACGCAGAAGTGTTTAATCGCACAGAAGCTGCTCTCTCAGCACGCCTCCTGAACTGTTACCAGCAACACTGTGGGATTGTGGAATGTATTGTGCATGATTGGTGCAACATCAAACAAAGGGACGGGCAGCAGCCCTAATAACCCACAAGCTCCTTCTCGATGCCCCAGTGGACAAAGAAGAGAGTTCTGTGTCAGAAACGTGAAGAAAATCCCTGCATGGAGACAACAAGGTCGTCTTGACCAAAGCCCCACGCTACCAACAAACTCACGGATATCCCCGGGACCGGGACAAAGACCTTAGTGTCCAGCACGGAAGCCTCTCCACAGAGACAATATGCAAACACAAGGGCAGCAACAGCAAGGACGTTATATGCAATTACAAGGTGCAACACAGCCACCGTGAGAGGTGATCACCCTCTCTCAAACCCTGTGAGGCACAGACTGTGTATTTGTCACATGATAAAAAATATGATAAAAATTGAGATATAATTGTCTCAAAGAAGTAACACACGCCACGCTGCTCCAAGTGGAATCAGAAAAATCACTGGGGGCGTGGTTAACAGGGGTTTATATAGGCTGTCAGCCACATCCACAGGTGGATTGTCTTAAAGAAATTATCCATGTTACCTGGGGTTCAGGTCTCCAATAGAGATACATACAATATATCTCTGGGTGGAGGGGAAGCCTAGAACGATAGAGAACACAATATATTTTATCGCAACACTCAGCAAATTACAACATGTTTAAAATTGCAGTAATATTGTATTGTGACTAAAGAATTGTGATAAAATTGTATCGTCGAGCCTCTGGTGATTCCCACCTCTACTAATTATTGCCAGTCATTTTGCAGCCTGACAGCAGAAGGAATAAAATAATTTAAACAGCAGTTTGTTTTCCTTAAATGTGCATAACAGTGCTGCCTGAGGGCATTTAAGAAAATTCATTGGACAGAATATGGTCAGATTGCCTAATAATTCCTGTTGCTCTCTGGACCACACATTTCTTCCAGACTGAACCCAAATCTTTCAGCTGGACTCAAGTGATCTTGAAGCAGATTTTGGCAATGCTGGAAGTGTGCAAAAAATTGTGGGTGCTTCATGCCCACTGAGGATACATATATGTATCCTTGAAAATTCACGGAGTGAAGGACACAGTCCTTGGTAGAAAAAGTATTCTCGACATTGGAACAGTCCTTTCGTGGGATTCAATGACGTAGCCTCCTTGAAATTCAGTCATATAAGGATCCTTCCTTGACTTTGATAAGCACCAAGTGTCTGCACTCCAGCAGCGCTCTCTGTGCAGCGCAGGACACAACATAGTTTTATGAGGTGCCATTTTTAAAAACTGGGTCTAGTGAATTAGAAAAAAAATGCATTGTGAGGGGCTTCCATGTGTTGATATCAGTGGCCTCTATCTCCTCCTTAGGCCAGCTTATTATACCAGTGGGGTATCTGATGTCTGGCAGGGCGTACGTGTTGATGACTCGGACCTTGTTCTTTCTGTCCAGCTGACCTTTCAGGGCCGGCCTTATTCTGTGTAAGTATTTGGCTGTGGCTGACTTTCTTGCAGCCTCCTTATAGATCCCATTTGCCTGCGGGACCCCAAGGTATTTGTAGTTGTCCTGAACATCTGCAATGCTGCCTTCTGGTAGTTCAGCCCCCTCAGTTCTGATCATCTTCCCTCTCTTGGACATAATCCAACCACACTTATCTAGTCTGAATGACATTCCGATGTCACTGCTGTAGATCCTGGTTTGGTGGATCAATGAGTCAATGTTTTGCTAACTACTGGCATACAGCTTGATGTCATGTATGTAAAGGAGGTGACTGATGGTTGCTCCACTTTGGAACCGGTATCCGTTGCCACTCTTTGTGATGAGCTGGCAGAGGGTGTTCAGGCCTATGCAGAACAGAAGCGGGGACAGTGCATCACCTTGGTATATGCCGCACTTGATGGTAACTTGTGCAATTGGCTTTGAGTTGGCCTCCAGAGTCGTTTTCACAGCCCCATTGAGTTCTTGATGAAGGGTCTTAGTGTCCTGTTGATGTTGCATTCCAGTATCCTTGTGTGGCATTAAGTCTTAGGCTTTCTTGTAGTCGATTCAGGCAGTGCACAGGTTGGTCTGCCTGGTCTTGCAGTCTTGGGTAACTGCTCTATCGACCAGTAGCTGGTGCTTGTCTCCCCTGGTATTACTACCAATTCTTTTCTGGGCCTTGCTCATTAATTGGCCCATGTGCCTATTCATCTTAGCTGCTAAGAGGCAGGTTATTGGCTGGTTGTTGGATGGGACCGCGCCCCTCTGGAGATCCTTCATCATCAGGACTGTCCGTCCGTGAGTCATCCACTCTGGATGGGTCCCATCCATCAGCAGCTGGTTCATCTGTGCTGCCAGGCATTCATATAGTGCAGGTAGTTTCTTTAGCCAGTAGGTGTGGATCATGTCAGGGCCTGGCGCTGTCCAGCTCTTCATACCTGATACGCTTTCTTGGATGTCTGCCGTTGTGATGGTGACTGGCTCTTGTTTTGGGAGATTGCTGTGGTCTGCTCCACTAGCCACTAGCTATTTAGCACCTCCTTCTCCCATATACTTACTTACTTACTTAGGTCTTAAATTCCCTGAGGAACATAGGCCATTGACAAAACTCCTCCATCCTCTTAAGTCTTGTGCCCTCTTAGTCAGTTGTTGCCATGACAGCCCTTCTGCCTTCATCTCCTCCTCTGTGGTTCTTCTCCAGGTGGCTTTAGGTCTCCCTTGCTTCCTCTTGCCTTGCGGGTTCCATGTTAGCGCATGTTTTATAATGGAGGTGTTTGGTCTTCTGAGTGTGTAGCCTATCCAATTCCATTTTCTCCTCTTGATTTGGCTCTCTAACGGTTCCTGCTTAGTGAGATCCCACAAGTTCACATTTGAGATGGTGTTGGGCCAGTAGATTCCAAGGAGGCGTTGGTGGCAGCGGTTGAAGAATGTCTGGAGTTTGTTGTGGATGTTGGTGGGGCTTGCAACCCCAACTTGTAAAACATCAATATGCTACAGAAACATTGGCGAAAAAACCTTGTCCCATATGCTCTTCCAGTATTGTTCAGTTTCAGCCCTGGGTAGATCTATACTCATGTTGTTACCTTGCCACTGAGAGTACACTTTGGATGGTTCAGTGGAGAACATCCTATTTATTCTCCTGGCTTCTTCTTCTCATGTGTATCTCTGTAGGCAGGTGGCCAGAGCTGTGAGCCTTTGCTTGGCAGTCTCCAGTACCTCAGGTATAGACAGTTTGTTGTACTTCCTAGGGATCCCTTTCTTCCCCACACCTTTCTGTAGCTCTGAGAGTTGACAAACCTCTTTCCGTGTTGCTTTGATCTTGGCCTCCAACCTCCTTCTCCATGGAGGATAGTGCTCTTTGTGGCTCATGATGTTC